TTTAAGATACCTGGAATACTTCTAATATTACTTTAAGATACCTGGAATACTTCTATATTACTTTAAGATACCTGGAATACTTCTAATATTACTTTAAGATACCTGGAATACTTCTAATATTACTTTAAGATACCTGGAATACTTCTAATATTACTTTAAGATACCTGGAATACTTCTAATATTACTTTAAGATACCTGGAATACTTCTATATTACTTTAAGATACCTGGAATACTTCTATATTACTTTAAGATACCTGGAATACTTCTATATTACTTTAAGATACCTGGAATACTTCTATATTACTTTAAGATACCTGGAATACTTCTAATATTACTTTAAGATACCTGGAATACTTATAATATTACTTTAACAGGGTTCCCGCGGGGTCTTAAAAAGTCTTAAATTTGATAATATGAATTTAAGGCCTTAAAAGGTCTTAAATATGGCCAAACAAATAAGAAAGGTCTTAAATATGATTTAGAAGGTCTTAAAAATGATCGGATTTGAAAGGTACTTCTGTGTTGCGATAGCGTCTAAATGTGTTTTGGGGGAAATGTCCGGGCTGCAAAGTAACCAGTATGGTAATAGCCTTTCAGTTCCCCCCAACAATTTGTATTGAAATAAATCAACATGGAACCAGTAATCACTAACTTTGTTTCCGCCGGCCCCTTATTGGAGAACACCCAGCTAGTAACCTAGCAACCAAGCTTCAGCTAGCGGCAGTCAGAAACTCATGTATCTTCGAATAAATATGGGGAAGTGTAAGTTCAACCGTTATTGGTTGGAAAACATCGAATTTAGTGCTTGGTTGAAACCAGGGGAGGGGAACGTGTTTGAAGCCCTTTGCAACCTTTTGCAAAATAAATTAGCGTTTGTTTGGCTAATGTAGCGTTAGCTAGTGCAGCGTTAGCTAGTGCAGCAGTTCCCGCAACAACACAGTGGGACCTCCGGGCAACGTTTGGGTCTACGTCAACCCTAAAAGTGGAGGTGCTGTAGACGCTAAATACCGTAGTTAAACACCAATCATACAACAGCAACGATGAAAGATTGTAGCCAAGGCAGCAGAGCTCTGAATATAGCTCTTGTCACTCTCTCTCTCTCTCTCTTTCACACACACACACACACACACACACACACACACACTAGGGCTGCTCGATTATGGCAAACATCATAATCACGATTATTTTGGTCAATAATTGATATCACAATTATTAAATACAATTATTAATTGACTTTGAAAACATCCATTTATTGAACTTCAAAACAAATAATAATTTGAACAGTATCTTTTTAACTGTTGATTACCCTGAACGTATAATTCAACTGAAAAAATAAATTAAATAAATGATACATTTAAATAAATAATATCAAAAATAATAAATACCAATAAACAAGATCAACAAATATTTTGGAGCGCACTTCCACAAGCTACTAAACATATACAAATATGATAAATAAAAATAAATTAGACTAAAATTAATTAATCAAATATGTTGTAGTGCACTGTCACAACCTAGCAAAGCAAAATAATCGATTATGTTGTTTCGTAATTGCGATTAAAATATGATTAATTGCACAGCCCACACACACACACACACACACACACACGCACACAGAGACACACACACATACACACCTTTTGTCTAACACGCTAACACAGTTCTGTGCTGTTATGTTCAGTCATTGTTCTTATGTTGAACATGAATACATTTATGGGACGTATTTCTTCTTTCATAGCAATTTTCCTTCATACTTTCTTGCCGTGAAATAGGTCTTAAATTCTATTCAAAGTGGTCTTAAAAAGGTCTTAAAAAGTCTTAAATTTGAGTTGGCGAAACCTGCAGGAACCCTGTTTAAGATACCTGGAATACTTCTATATTACTTTAAGATACCTGGAATACTTCTAATATTACTTTAAGATACCTGGAATACTTCTAATATTACTTAAGATACCTGGAATACTTCTATATTACTTTAAGATACCTGGAATACTTCTAATATTACTTAAGATACCTGGAATACTTCTAATATTACTTTAGATACCTGGAATACTTCTAATATTACTTTTAAGATACCTGGAATACTTCTAATATTACTTTAAGATACCTGGAATACTTCTAATATTACTTTAAGATACCTGGAATACTTCTAATATTACTTTAAGATACCTGGAATACTTCTAATATTACTTTAAGATACCTGGAATACTTCTAATATTACTTTAAGATACCTGGAATACTTCTAATATACTTTAAGATACCTGGAATACTTCTAATATTACCTTTAAGATACCTGGAATACTTCTAATATTACTTTAAGATACCTGGAATACTTCTAATATTACTTTAAGATACCTGGAATACTTCTAATATTACTTTAAGATACCTGGAATACTTCTAATATTACTTTAAGATACCTGGAATACTTCTAATATATCTAATATTACTTTAAAATACCTGGAATACTTCTAATATATCTAATTCTGGAATACTTCTAATAATACTTTAAGATACCTGGAATACTTCTAATATTACTTTAAGATACCTGGAATACTTCTAATATTACTTTAAGATACCTGGAATACTTCTAATATTACTTTAAGATACCTGGAATACTTCTAATATTACTTTAAGATACCTGGAATACATCTATATTACTTTAAGATACCTGGAATACTTCTATATTACTTTAAGATACCTGGAATACTTCTAATATTACTTTAAGATACCTGGAATACTTCTAATATTACTTTAAGATACCTGGAATACTTCTAATATTACTTTAAGATACCTGGAATACTTCTAATATTACTTTAAGATACCTGGAATACTTCTAATATTACTTTAAGATACCTGGAATACTTCTAATATTACTTTAAGATACCTGGAATACATCTATATTACTTTAAGATACCTGGAATACTTCTATATTACTTTAAGATACCTGGAATACTTCTATATTACTTTAAGATACCTGGAATACTTCTAATATTACTTTAAGATACCTGGAATACTTCTAATATTACTTTAAGATACCTGGAATACTTCTAATATTACTTTAAGATACCTGGAATACTTCTAATATTACTTTAAGATACCTGGAATACATTCTAATATTACTTTAAGATACCTGGAATACTTCTATATTACTTTAAGATACCTGGAATACTTCTAATATTACTTTAAGATACCTGGAATACTTCTAATATTACTTTAAGATACCTGGAATACTTCTAATACAGTTTAGTTATGACAATGAAAGTCTGAGGTCACAGGCTCCTCCTCCAACAGCAACACAATAACACGGATAAAATAGTGCAACTAAATAAAATAGAATATAGTGGAAACAGAATATGATAGGGACTGTGCAGAAGAGTGTATATACAGTAATTGGAATATTGATATATGCGAGTTGCAAACCGTTGAATCAGGGCTCTCGGCTAACTTCTTTCACCATCCTCCCGGAACCGTCCCGAAATACAATCTAAGCCGTCCCGAAATTAATGTGGACCGTCCCGAATTTAAAATATTAGTTTTTCTACATTATCATTAGTTAAAATCATTCAAAGTGACCTTTAACATAAATAAAACATCATACAAATCATTAGATGATAATTCATCAACCTTTTTAATTGAGTAAATCAGTCAAACACATAAACAAAGGCCAAATATATTTAAAAAAAACACACAAGCGAGAAAGTTACTCTAATATTGAATCCAATCAAGTTCTATCCAATTATCAAAAACATCCAACACTCTGTCCTGAAGACAGAAGACAGAACCCAGAGTAACCACTAACCAGGATGACAGTCTGTAACACAGTCAGGAGACCTTTACAAACTGCCCCGCCCCCTCGCACACAGACGGGGGAGAGAGCTCTCTCGTCTGGATTGGAAAGATCGAAAATAAGATCGAAAATACATCATAGACGCATTTTGTAGACTTATTGCATATTAGAAACGGAGTTGGCGAAACTAAAACTGCGATATAATGTTCATGTAGCAATAATACATGACATATATGTTTTAAATGTCTCCACTACCGATAAAAAGTCAGATAACGTCGGAGCTTAAACGCTACCACTGTCTTTAATAATTCCGGCCCGGGGCCCGTTTAATACCGGGGCTCGGTACCCATCCCTACATGGGGAGAGACGCAGCATATTGCTAAGGACTAAATACGATGGAGAGTTCTCATCTCAGCCTTATTACCCATAGGGGATGAAGAGGAGTTAGTAAATAAAGAGGCCGGCGCTCCAGGGTTAGGTTCTGCTGTGCGTTTTCGTGATGTAACGTAAACAATTGCAGAATTCCTCCACGGGATGCCATTGTCATTGTACATCACTCAACGCGAAATACACACACTCAGTACATAGCTAGACCCAATAATTTGCGGGCCAGGAGTTTGTGTGTGTGTGTGTGTGTGTGTGTGTGTGTGTGTGTGTGTGTGTGTGTGTGTGTGTGTGTGTGTGTGTGTGTGTGTGTGTGTGTGTGTGTGTGTGTGTGTGTGTGTGTGTGTGTGTGTGTGTGTGTGTGTGTGTGTGTGTGTGTGTGTGTGTGTGTGTGTGTGTGTGTGTGTGTGTGTGTGTGTGTGTGTGTGTGTGTGTGTGTGTGTGGTGTGTGTGTGTGTGTGTGGTGTGTGTGTGTGTGTGTGTGTGTGTGTGTGTGTGTGTGTGTGTGTGTGTCGTGGTTTGCTAAATGTTTTGTGTGTGTTTATGTTGACAAGGAGGTTTAATAACTGTGTGCTACACAAAACGTGCAGTCAGTTTCATTTTCATCGCCGTTCGTACTGTAGTAGAGTTATCAGGGTATTTTTATTTTAACTCTCGTCCCAAATTCGTCCCAAGATTATTTTTTATCCTCCCCGACCCTATTTTTTTCGGCCCCGGGACGACGGGACGTCCTTAAGCTCGAGCCCTGCGTTGAATGTTATGTATGTTCAGGTGAATGTTATGTATGTCCAGGTGTTTAACAGTCTTGTGGCCTGTGGGATGAAACTGTCTCCCCAGGAGATCCGCAGGAACGCCCTGATCAAGGACCAGATGAGGGAGCGGTGCATCCCCACGCTGGTGGAGTCCTGGTTCCAGATCCTGCAGACGTACCAGCAGTCTCACCCCGAGATCACCTGCCAGTGTCTGGAGGTCGTGGGCGCCTTCGTGTCCTGGATCGACCTCAACCTCATCGCCAACGACCGGTATGATCACCTGGGAGAATACCCTCATGTTCCTGTGGATCCACAGCCTTTAGAGACCAGTGTGTTTAAAACAGCAGCTAGATTAAAGGTCTCATATCATGCTATCTTTAGGCATATATTATGGGTCTCAGATATATACAAATATATAGAAAACATGTCTATGATGTGTTTTGCTCAAAATACCAACAGATCATGCATTTTAGAAATCCCTCTATCCCTCTGTTTCAGCCCTGTTACTAAAGTGCTGATTCTGTCGCTTTTAAAAACAGGAACTCAGCTAAATGCTGCTGTGATTAAACGCCACATTCTGTTCCAAACCACATTTTTAGAGATGTGGGTACGGAGGAAAGAGAGAGGGTTTTATTCTCTGACACTTTGTGAGTCTCCTGACACACGGGGACACATGGTGATGTGGAGAAGACATCACTTTGTGAGTCTCCTGACACACGGGGACACATGGTGATGTAGAGAAGACATCACTTTGTGAGTCTCCTGACACACCGGGGACACATGGTGATGTAGAGAAGACATCACTTTGTGAGTCTCCTGACACACCGGGGACACATGGTGATGTAGAGAAGACATCACTTTGTGAGTCTCCTGACACACCGGGGACACATGGTGATGTAGAGAAGACATCACTATGTGAGTCTCCTGACACACCGGGGACACATGGTGATGTAGAGAAGACATCACTTTGAGAGTCTCCTGACACACCGGGGACACATGGTGATGTAGAGAAGACATCACTTTGTGAGTCTCCTGACACACCGGGGACACATGGTGATGTAGAGAAGACATCACTATGTGAGTCTCCTGACACACCGGGGACACATGGTGATGTAGAGAAGACATCACTTTGAGAGTCTCCTGACGCACCGGGGACACATGGTGATGTAGAGAAGACATCACTATGTGAGTCTCCTGACACACCGGGGACACATGGTGATGTAGAGAAGACATCACTTTGTGAGTCTCCTGACACACCGGGGACACATGGTGATGTAGAGAAGACATCACTTAGTGAGTCTCCTGACACACCGGGGACACATGGTGATGTAGAGAAGACATCACTTAGTGAGTCTCCTGACACACCGGGGACACATGGTGATGTAGAGAAGACATCACTTTGAGAGTCTCCTGACACACCGGGGACACATGGTGATGTGGAGAAGACATCACTTTGTGAGTCTCCTGACACACCGGGGACACATGGTGATGTAGAGAAGACATCACTATGTGAGTCTCCTGACACACCGGGGACACATGGTGATGTAGAGAAGACATCACTATGTGAGTCTCCTGACACACCGGGGACACATGGTGATGTAGAGAAGACATCACTATGTGAGTCTCCTGACACACCGGGGACACATGGTGATGTAGAGAAGACATCACTATGTGAGTCTCCTGACACACCGGGGACACATGGTGATGTAGAGAAGACATCACTATGTGAGTCTCCTGACACACCGGGGACACATGGTGATGTGGAGAAGACATCACTTAGTGAGTCTCCTGACGCACCGGGGACACATGGTGATGTAGAGAAGACATCACTTTGTGAGTCTCCTGACACACCGGGGACACATGGTGATGTAGAGAAGACATCACTTTGTGAGTCTCCTGACACACCGGGGACACATGGTGATGTAGAGAAGACATCACTATGTGAGTCTCCTGACACACCGGGGACACATGGTGATGTAGAGAAGACATCACTATGTGAGTCTCCTGACACACCGGGGACACATGGTGATGTGGAGAAGACATCACTATGTGAGTCTCCTGACACACCGGGGACACATGGTGATGTGGAGAAGACATCACTAAGTGAGTCTCCTGACACACCGGGGACACATGGTGATGGATAAAAGACATCACTATGTGAGTCTCCTGACACACCGGGGACACATGGTGATGTGGAGAAGACATCACTATGTGAGTCTCCTGACACACCGGGGACACATGGTGATGTAGAGAAGACATCACTATGTGAGTCTCCTGACACACCGGGGACACATGGTGATGTGGAGAAGACATCACTATGTGAGTCTCCTGACACACCGGGGACACATGGTGATGTGGAGAAGACATCACTAAGTGAGTCTCCTGACACACCGGGGACACATGGTGATGTAGAGAAGACATCACTATGTGAGTCTCCTGACACACCGGGGACACATGGTGATGTAGAGAAGACATCACTTAGTGAGTCTCCTGACACACCGGGGACACATGGTGATGGATAAAAGACATCACTATGTGAGTCTCCTGACACACCGGGGACACATGGTGATGTAGAGAAGACATCACTATGTGAGTCTCCTGACACACCGGGGACACATGGTGATGTAGAGAAGACATCACTTTGTGAGTCTCCTGACACACCGGGGACACATGGTGATGTAGAGAAGACATCACTTTGTGAGTCTCCTGACACACCGGGGACACATGGTGATGTAGAGAAGACATCACTATGTGAGTCTCCTGACACACCGGGGACACATGGTGATGTAGAGAAGACATCACTATGTGAGTCTCCTGACACACCGGGGACACATGGTGATGTAGAGAAGACATCACTTAGTGAGTCTCCTGACACACCGGGGACACATGGTGATGTAGAGAAGACATCACTTAGTGAGTCTCCTGACACACGGGACACATGGTGATGTAGAGAAGACATCACTTAGTGAGTCTCCTGACACACGGGACACATGGTGATGTAGAGAAGACATCACTTTGTGAGTCTCCTGACACACCGGGGACACATGGTGATGTAGAGAAGACATCACTTTGTGAGTCTCCTGACACACTGGGACACATGGTGATGTAGAGGAGACATCACTTTGTGAGTCTCCTGACACACCGGGGACACATGGTGATGTAGAGAAGACATCACTTAGTGAGTCTCCTGACACACCGGGGACACATGGTGATGGATAAAAGACATCACTTAGTGAGTCTCCTGACACACCGGGGACACATGGTGATGGATAAAAGACATCACTTAGTGAGTCTCCTGACACACCGGGGACACATGGTGATGGATAAAAGACATCACTTAGTGAGTCTCCTGACACACCGGGGACACATGGTGATGGATAAAAGACATCACTTAGTGAGTCTCCTGACACACGGGACACATGGTGATGTAGAGAAGACATCACTTTGTGAGTCTCCTGACACACCGGGGACACATAGTGATGTAGAGAAGACATCACTTTGTGAGTCTCCTGACACACCGGGGACACATGGTGATGTAGAGAAGACATCACTTTGTGAGTCTCCTGACACACCGGGGACACATAGTGATGTAGAGAAGACATCACTTTGTGAGTCTCCTGACACACGGGACACATGGTGATGTAGAGAAGACATCACTTAGTGAGTCTCCTGACACACCGGGGACACATGGTGATGTACAGAAGACATCACTTAGAGAGTCTCCTGACACACCGGGGACACATGGTGATGTAGAGAAGACATCACTTTGTGAGTCTCCTGACACACCGGGGACACATGGTGATGTAGAGAAGACATCACTTAGAGAGTCTCCTGACACCCCGGGGACACATGGTGATGTAGAGAAGACATCACTTTGAGAGTCTCCTGACACACGGGGGACACATGGTGATGGATAAAAGACATCAGAAAGTGACTTTTGCATGATAGGAGACCTTTAACTCTCCTTCATCTCCTTATATATATTGATATATATATATTCAACATGTGTTCCCCAGGTTTGTGAACCTGCTGCTGAGCCAGATGTCGGTGATGGAGCTGCGTGAGGAGGCCTGTGACTGCCTGTTTGAAATCATCAACAAAGGGATGGACCCTGCAGATAAGATCAAGCTGGTGGAGTCTCTGTGTCAGGTGCTGCAGTCTGCCGGCTTCTTCAACGTGGAGCAGGTAACACCTCAACACTTATTCATCAGGTCAACATGTTTTTATTGCGTTTCGAAAATGCATAATCTGTGTTTTTCATTTAGAAATGGAAAGCAAAATATATGCATACAAATGAGACCGTGGTTTTTACTGATTGTATGTTCAGAGAGAGAGAGAATTATTTTTAACTAAAACACAAACAGACAATAACAACGACTAAAGTAATCCCTACATTCAGAGCCTCAGACACACCATTATCTACCAGAAACATTGTTAAAAGAATATATATACATGCAATAAATACATATACACATCTACTGTATACATACATATGCTGCAGATAAGCTATACCAATAACAGATCGTTTTATTGATTTATAAAAGGTTCCCAGGCTTCCTGAAATTCCTGTTTGAGTATAGAAGTGAAGATCTGACCTTTTCCAGTTCCATGCAGGACATAACGCCCCCCCCTCTCCCCCCTCTCTCAGGAGGAGGACGTGGACTTCCTGGCTAAGTTCTCCCGCCTGGTGAACGGCATGGGTCAGAGTCTGGTGCTCAGCTGGAGCAAGCTGTCTAAGAACGGGAACGTTAAAGAAGCTGCGGAGGCTCTGCAGGCTCTGGAGAGCAAAGTTCCTCTCCTTCTGCAACTTCTGATCCACGAAGACGACGACATCTCTGCCAACATCGTGGGCTTCTGCTACGAATACCTGCACGTCCTCAAGCAGGTGAGACAGCCTCGTTTATCTACACAGCACGTTTAGAACAACCTCAGTCTTTAGAGACAGAAAATAAATCATCAGGGACAGGCGAGACCTCCGGGGTCCTCAACCAATCAGAGGCAGAGAACAATAACACAAAGCAAAGAAATATATTATGTGAGAATAAAACTTGCTGCATCCTCTAACTGGTGGATGCAGCTCCTCCAGGAGAACTGGAGTCATTTAAAGTGGACCTATCGTGCTATATTTGAATAATATATTGTAGGGCCATACCTATATAAGGCATATTTATACGTTTTCTTTTTCAAAATACCAAACAGATCATGCATTTTAGCCATGCCTCATTTCGCTCTATTTTGCTCTCCTCCACCCTGTCTTTGCATGCGCTGCAGCTGACCACGCCCCCCTGCAAGGGAGGGGGCCGAGGCACGAGCGTCATGTTACCATGCTGTTACCATGCTGTTACCATGCTGTTGTCATGCTGTTGTCATGCTGTTGTCATGCTGTTACCATGCTGTTACCATGCTGTTGCCATGCTGTTGCCATGCTGTTACCATGCCACGGCAACCTCTCATTCCCCTGATAGGTGGAGAGTTGGCCATATAGGCGGAGCTCCTCGTCACTGACGTCAGACTATTTTCAAATCTGGATCAGTTTTTATCAGATCCGTTGCAGCCCCTTTTTTAGAGATTTGGGTATGGAGGAAAATAGAGAGGGTTGTGTTTTCTGACACTTGGTGAGTTCCCTGGAACACCGGGGACACGTATTCATGTAGAAAAGATGTACAAAAGTGCATTTTGCATGATAGGTCCCCTTTAAGTCTCTTTTTAAAGCACATTTTCTGACATTCTTTGAAGATTTTTTAAAACATTTTCTAGAATTTATTGTACTATTTTTTTGAAATTTTTTACAAATGTTCCAGGTATTTCTTAAAGATATTTATTTCACATTTTTGGGATTTTTTTTAATACACATTTTTAGGAATTACTTTACTTCTTTTGTTGACATCTTTATTTGAAATGTTCTCACATTTTCAGAAGATTTTGTTATTTCTCAGAGGTTCTTCCGCCGCTTCTCGAACAGTTTACCTGCAACCAAAATGACATTTACAGAACCCTCTCTGAGGATTTTCTGTCTTGCATTTGAGAATAATCAGAGGCTGCAGCTCCACCAATCAGAGCCCAGAAAAAACCTGATAAAAGTTATATGAGCATAAAACTATATAAAACAGGAAATATTCTTGATGTTTGTGTTTTGCTCCTGCAGCTCCCGCAGCTGACAGACCAGCAGAAAGCTAACCTGGAGGTGAGTCTCTAATTATGTTTTATAATATAAATGTTTAATTGTTTAATTGATGATTATAATCACCAAACATCTGCTTCTCTCTCCTCAGGCGATCCTGCTGGCTGTGATGAAGAAACTGACGTACGACGACGAGTACAACTTTGAGAACGAGGTGAGGAGGATTTGAACCATGAGTCGGTCTGTTCTCTGGGTTTAAGGAAGAAGATGTTTTATTTATATATAACGTATCCTTGTATTTCCTGCGTCAGGGCGAAGACGAGGCGATGTTTGTGGAGTACAGGAAGCAGCTGAAGATGCTTCTGGATCGTCTGGCTCAGGTTTCTCCAGAGTTGCTGCTGGAAGCTGTGCGGAGAGTCTTCAACAACACCATGCAGTGAGACAAACACACCGTTATATATATGATATATCTTTGTAGAGGACTTGTTCCAGAGACTGACGTGTGTGTGTGTGTGTCCAGGAGCTGGCAGACGGCCTCCTTCATGGAGGTGGAGGTCGCTGTGAGGCTGCTCTACATGCTGGGAGAGGCTCTACCTGCTTCACATGGAGCTCATTTCTCTGGAGACACGGCCAAGACCAGCGTCCTGCAGGACATGATGAGGACGGTCAGTCAGAGACATCTCTCCAGACATCATACCAATAGCTGCATCTGTATAAAGCGTTTCTGCACTCCTACGCGTTTCCTCTGCTTCAAACTGTGTGTATTTCCTCTCAGCTGGTGTCGTGCGGCGTCAGCAGCTTCCAGCACAGCTCCGTCTCTCTGGAGTTCTTTGAGACGGTCAGCAGATACGATAAGTTCTTCCTGGTGGAGCCGCAGCACATCCCCATCGTGCTGGTGAGACCCTCTGCATATTAATACACTTAATACACCTTTACACCGGCACCTTATCTACCTTTGAATCTGCACGTTAATAAAGTGTATTCCCCTGAGTGTAACCGTGCTGCGTTCACTGTCAGATGGCGTTTCTGGACCAGAGAGGACTGAGGCACAGCAGCCCTAAAGTGCGCAGCCGAGTGGCCTACCTGTTCTCCAGGTTCATCAAGACGCTGCAGTGAGCTCACCTTCCTTTTATCACATTTAAAATGCAATTTAAGAAAATATTTCTTTCACGTGAAATTACGAATTTCAGAAAATATAACAAAAAGTTATTGAACATTTTACATTTTTAAATCACTCAAAGTTCAATTTATTTTCTCGTAAAATCTCCTCAAAATCAGAAAATATTTTTACAAATATGTTTTTTTTCTTTCTGATAAAATAATAATTTATTTTCTAAAATATTCTTGTTTTTTTTCCCCGATAAAAATTGAGAAAATATTCACCATTTTTTAATTTCTTCTTGTCAATCTACCACTTACATTTCAGGGAATATTTAAGATTTTTCTTGTAACTCTAAAATATGCTGCTTTCTTTGTGTTGACAGTAAACACATGAACGCGTTCATCGAGGACGTTCTGACGAGGATCCAGGACCTGCTGGAGCTCAATCCTCCCGTAAGACCTCACAAGAAATACAAGAAATACAATCATTAAAACTCCTTCTTTATGTTTATTAATATATATTTCTTGTTATTTCAGGAGAACGGGTTCCCGGCGCTGCTCACCAGCGATGACCAGCTGTTCATGTTCGAGGCGGCGGGGGTTCTGATCGTTCACGGGGAGAGTCCCATGGAGAGGAAGACGGCGATGATGACGAGCCTCCTGCAGCCGCTGATGGACGCTTTCAACGTTCTGCTCAACAAACTGAGTCTGGAGAGAGACGAGGAGAAACAGAACGCCATCGGAGACTGCCTCAGCCACGCCGTGGGCTTCGCCAGGTACTTGTGTTACTCGATAATAAGACGCACTTTCGTCTTAGCACGACACTTTATTTCAGCACACCGCCATCTTCGGATATCACATACAACACGTAACTCCAACGTAACACTTCACAACATCCGGTAACACTTCACAACATCCGGTAACACTTCACAACATCCATCCGGTAACACTTAACACTTCACAACATCCATCCGGTAACACTTCACAACATCCATCCGGTAACACTTCACAACATCCGGTAACACTTCACAACATCCATCCGGTAACACTTCACAACATCCATCCGGTAACACTTCACAACATCCATCCGGTAACACGTCACAACATCCGGTAACACTTCACAACATCCATCCGGTAACACTTCACAACATCCGGTAACACTTCACAACATCCATCTGGTAACACTTCACAACATCCATCCGGTAATACTTCACAACATCCATCCGGTAACACTTCACAACATCCGGTAACACGTCACAACATCCGGTAACACGTCACAACATCCGGTAACACGTCACAACATCCATCCGGTAACACTTCACAACATCTGGTAACACTTCACAACATCTGGTAACACTTCACAACATCCGGTAACACTTCACAACATCTGGTAACACTTCACAACATCTGGTAACACTTCACAACATCTGGTAACACTTCACAACATCTGGTAACACTTCACAACATCTGGTAACACTTCACAACATCTGGTAACACTTCACAACATCTGGTAACACTTCACAACATCCGGTAACACTTCACAACATCCGGTAACACTTCACAACATCCGGTAACACTTCACAACATCCGGTAACACTTCACAACATCCGGTAACACTTCACAACATCCGGTAACACTTCACAACATCCATCCGGTAACACTTCACAACATCCGGTAACACTTCACAACATCCGGTAACACTTCACAACATCCGGTAACACTTCACAACATCCATCCGGTAACACTTCACAACATCCATCCGGTAACACTTCACAACATCCATCCGGTAACACTTCACAACATCCATCCGGTAACACTTCACAACATCCGGTAACACTTCACAACATCTGGTAACACTTCACAACATCCGGTAACACTTCACAACATCCATCCGGTAACACTTCACAACATCCATCCGGTAACACTTCACAACATCCATCCGGTAACACTTCACAACATCCATCTGGTAACACTTCACAACATCCATCCGGTAACACTTCACAACATCCGGTAACACTTCACAACATCCATCCGGTAACACTTCACAACATCTGGTAACACTTCACAACATCCGGTAACACTTCACAACATCCATCCGGTAACACTTCACAACATCCATCCGGTAACACTTCACAACATCCGGTAACACTTCACAACATCCGGTAACACTTCACAACATCTGGTAACACTTCACAACATCCGGTAACACTTCACAACATCTGGTAACACTTCACAACATCCATCCGGTAACACTTCACAACATCCATCCGGTAACACTTCACAACATCCGGTAACACTTCACAACATCCATCCGGTAACACTTCACAACATCCGGTAACACTTCACAACATCCGGTAACACTTCACAACATCCGGTAACACTTCACAACATCCATCCGGTAACACTTCACACATCCATCCGCACACACTTCACAACATCCATCGGTAACACTTCACAACATCCGGTAACACTTCACAACATCCATCCGGTAACACTTCACAACATCCATCCGGTAACACTTCACAACATCCGGTAACACTTCACAACACCATCCGGTAACACTTCACAACATCCGGTAACACTTCACAACATCTGGTAACACTTCACAACATCCATCCGGTAACACTTCACAACATCCATCCGGTAACACTTCACAACATCCGGTAACACTTCACAACATCCGGTAACACTTCACAACATCTGGTAACACTTCACAACATCTGGTAACACTTCACAACATCCATCCGGTAACACTTCACAACATCCGGTAACACTTCACAACATCCGGTAACACTTCACAACATCCGGTAACACTTCACAACATCCATCCGGTAACACTTCACAACATCCATCCGGTAACACTTCACAACATCCATCCGGTAACACTTCACAACATCCGGTAACACTTCACAACATCCATCCGGTAACACTTCACAACATCCATCCGGTAACACTTCACAACATCCGGTAACACTTCACAACATCCATCCGGTAACACGTCACAACATCCGGTAACACTTCACAACATCTGGTAACACTTCACAACATCCATCCGGTAACACTTCACAACCATCCCCGTAAACTTCACAACATCCGGTAACACTTCACAACATCCGGTAACACTTCACAACATCTGGTAACACTTCACAACATCTGGTAACACTTCACAACATCCATCCGGTAACACTTCACAACATCCATCCGGTAACACTTCACAACATCTGGTAACACTTCACAACATCTGGTAACACTTCACAACATCCGGTAACACTTCCGGTTCTTCACAATAAAACTCCAAATGAACACATTAAACATAAACAGAAATAGTGCATACAAGTTAACACTTGTACTTTACTTGAGTATTTCTATTTTATGCTTCTTTGTACTTCTACTCCACTACAGTTCAGAGGTACATGGTGTACTTTTACTCCACTACATGTATTTAATACCTTTAGTTACTTTACTTCTACTTTTACTCAAGTACAGACGACAACATTTTTTTTAAATATAACATATTTTTGGCATAAATGCAGGAAGGGAACTCTGATATGAAACACATCCCAGCAGGCGTTAATTCATCACCTAAATGATTACTTAAATGTCTCAGTCTTTGGGATTCATCTGCATTTGTACTTGCATTTTAATCTGCTGAACCCTGAGTCTAACTCAGATGTCTTTCTCCCCCTCTCTCCCCCCTGCAGCCGCACCAGCAAGGCGTTCAGCAACAAGCAGACGGTGAAGCTGTCCGGCTGCTCTGAGGTGTATCGCGGCTGCCTGCAGACCTTCCTCCCTGCGCTCAGCGTGCCGCTGCAGAAAGGGTCTCTACGCAGCGCCGTCAGGTCCTTCCTGCACCGCATGATCATCTGCATGGAGGAGGAGGTGCTGCCCTTCATCCCTTCAGCCTCACAACACATGCTGAAGGACTGCGAGGCCAAAGACCTGCAGGAGTTCATCCCCCTCATCTCGCAGATCACCGCCAAGTTCAAGGTACGAAACTGAGGGGGAAGAGAGAGGGGGAAGAGAGAGAGGGGGAAGAGAGAGAGGGGGAAGAGAGAGGGGGAAGAGAGAGAGGGGGAAGAGAGAGGAAACACATGCTGAAGGACTGCGCGGCCCTCAAACCAAAATGCAGATTTTCCCCGTAAAATGTTAAAGTGCAAAAACGGAATAAAAATCTTTTTTAGTTTTAGATTTTTTTTTAATGTTTTTTTTATTTAGACTGTTTTTAGATTTTTATTAGATTTAGATTTTTGGGGGATTTCGATTTTTATTTTAACATGCAATTTTTTAGTTCCTAATCAAACCAGATAAGGGCTTGAGAATAAAACAAGATCACATTTGATTTTTTTTAAGTTACGATGTGAATTTCAGAAAATCTAAAATTATTGAACATTTACACATTTTCAATCTCTCAAAATTCAGAAAAAAGTTGAATTCTTTTTTTTTTTTAATCAACTAAAATACCAGAAAATAATTGTACAAATATTTAATTTGTTTTCTGATGAAATAATAATTTATTCTCTAAAATATTCTTGTTTTTTTCCCCGATTAAAATTCAGAAAATATTCAACAAAACTGAATCTGATGACGGCCTTTTGAGGGCAGCTGTTCCATACGGACACATTATAATATAATAACAGGGATTTCAATGTTTTTCCTCCGGTTCCTGCGGCAGGTTTTCATGCCGCTGCTTCTCTCTTTTCTCTACATTAATAACAACCATAATAACATATATTATTAATTCTTCTTCCTCCCGTTTGCAGTCGCAGGTATCCCCCTTCCTGCAGCAGGTCTTCATGCCTCTGGTCCTCTCGATCTTTGAGGTTTTGGGCCGCCCGGCGGAGGAGAACGACCAGGCGGCGGCGCTGGAGAAGCAGATGCTGAGGAGGAGCTACTTCACCTTCATCCAGACGGTGGCCGGCAGCGGCATGAACGAGGTCATGGCCAACCAGGGTACGTGTGCACGGAGAAACATTTAATATCTGAGAGGAAACTGAGGAAAATCTGCTCAAAGAAACGTGTTTTATTGCTTAAAATGGAAGAAAACGGTGAAAAACACAAGATTTTATTTCACTGTTCGAGAGAGACACGCTAGCAGTTTCCCTCCGTTTCCAGTCTTTATGCTAAGCTAACAGACAACATATGACTAACATCAAATGAAGAGAATTTCCTGCAGATGTTGGATTTTTTTGTAGTAAATTTAACACAAAATTCAAGTTTTTATCCAGTTTTCTTTCTCAGAATATCCTCGACAACACCTCCTTTTTTTAAGATGTACTTCTCCTTTTACGATGGCCCTCAAACTGTGATTTTTAAACCGTTTATTTGTGTTTTTTCTCAGAATCTTCCCATTTCTTAACTGTATGAATGTTTTCTATGTTCCTCCAGGAGCGGAGAACATCGAGCGCGTCGTGTTCACGATCATCCAGGGCGCCGTGGACTTCCCCGACCCGATCGCCCAGAAGAGCTGCTTCATCATCCTCTCCAAGCTGGTGGAGCTGTGGGGTGAGCGGAGATATACATATATACATATATACATATACACATATACACATATACATATATACATATATACATATATACATATATACACATATACATATATACATATATACATATATACATATACACATATACACATATACATATATACATATATACATATATACATATATACACATATACATATATACATATATACATATATACACATATAGATATATACACATATACATATATACATATATACACATATACATATATACATATATACACATATACATATATACACATATACACATATACACATATACATATATACACATATACACATATACACATATACACATATACACATATACATATATACATATATACACATATACATGTATACACATATACAGACATATATACATATATACATATATACACATATACACATATACACATATACACATATACACATATACATATATACATGTATACATGTATACATATATACATACATATAACACATATACACGTATACATGTATACATATATACATATACACATATACACATATACATATATACATATACACATATACGTATATATACATATATGTATATGTATATATATATACACATATACGTATATATACATATACACATACATATATACATATGTATACATTATACACATATACACATATACATATACATATAACACATAACATATATACACATATATATACATATATACACATATACATATATATACATATATACACATATACACATATACACATATACACATATACACATATACACATATACATATATACACATATACACATATACATATACACATATACACATATACATATATACACATATACATATACATATACACATATACATACATATACACATATACACATATACATATATACACATATACACAAATACACATATACATGTATACATATATACATACATATATACACATATACATGTATACATATATACATACATATATACATATGTATACATATATACATATATACACATATACACATATACACATATACACATATACACATATACATATATACACATATACACATATACACATATACATATATACACATATATCTAAAGTATTCTGTGTGTTTCTAACTGAGTGTTGCTCTTCCTGCAGGAGGGAAAGACGGCATGGTGGGATTCCCCGACTTCATCTACAAACACATCGTCCCCGCCTGTTTCCTCGCTCCGCTCAAACCCAGCTTCGACCTCTCAGACGCTCAGACCGTTCTGGTGAGGGTCCCCAAAAACAAATGTGTAATCAGGGAATCAACTCTGAGTTTCTGGGATTCAGATATTACATTACGGGAAGAAAACACGGATATCATGTTTTTTTCTGCACCGGGGCTAGATTTGGATATTTTAACGATTTTTATTTTTCTCATTTTTTTGGGATTTATAGATTTTCTTAGATTTTTGGGGGATCCTTATTTATATAGATTTTTTTTAAATAATTTTTTCTTCTTATATTTAGATTTTTTTAAGATTTAGGGGAAAAGAATTGGGATTTCAATTTTTTTATTTTATTTCATGGATTAAGATTTGTTTTGTATTACAATTTAAAATTATATAGAATTTTGATTAAAATATTTTTTTTGATTTTGATATTTTTTACTCCAGAAATCTGAGTATCAAACAGAGCGTCATGCGGCAGAGACAGCTTTGTTTTTACGGAGCTCCGACGTCACGTTGTTGTTTACGTCAGGAGACATCTTGTTGTTGTTTACGTCTAACGTGTTGTTAACGTTTCTCTTCTTCCAGACGCTGTCGGAGTGTGCGATCACGCTGAAAACTATTCATCTCAAACGGGTACAAACTCTTATTTTAATACATTTAAAATACTGCAATGTATTCCTCATTTATTTATGAATCTGTGATATTTTGTGTTTCAGGGTTTGGAGTTTATCCAGTTTCTGCAGCAGGAGTATCTTCCCTCTCTGCAGGTCGCTCCGGAGATCTCACAGGTGAGCTTACCTGAGGGCACGAGTCTGAGTTTCAGTCTCTTTTCTCATAACAGAGGGTTTTTGGCTTAAATCTTGTAATCGTGACTTGATTACGTCAATATATTCTGTGAAACTGTCAAACTGTTGATACTGTGATATTTAATGAATATTATGAATATTTTTTATGTAAATTTGTATTTTTGCATGATGCTGTTGTTTATTCCTCACACTCCTGCTGTGTTTAGGCCTTTAAGTATATGCAAATTGACTTTATTTTGCATATTTTTTACTTAAAACGTCGTATTTTCAACATTAAATTAGCAAAAACCAACATGTAATACCTGTAATTTGCCTCCATATTTTATTGGATTTAGTGAAAAATAAGAAATATATGAAGATACAAGAAAATGATGCAAGAAATGTCTTAAAAAAGCACAAAAAGAGGTCTTTATGTCACATTAAATACTGTATAAAGTTAGTTATATTTAGCTGTAAAATGTTGACTTTATTCGCAGGAGCTCTGTCAGGTTCTTCAGCAGCCGGACGTAAAAGTCCTGAAAAACTACATAAAGGTACGACCGATTGAATTACAATAAATAAAGCGTGTTTTTAATAACTTTATTCACTAATAACGTCCCGATGTCTCCTCTTTAGGCGTTCTTCCAGCGGGCGAAACTGTAGGAAATAAAAAACTGGAAGTTCTCTTTGAAAAAGGACTCGAGACAGGAAGCGGTCGAACGCGCCGCGCACTACCAAAATAAAAGACCTTAGCATAGGAGCTGCTTTTGCACTTAAACGTGGCTCGAAGGGCGGAAGAATCCTCCGAAGACGAGCTGTCCACGACTAACGAGACGATTAACCAGGGACGATAACGAGGAGATAACGAGGAGATAACGAGGAGATAACGAGGTGATAACGAGGAGATAACGAGGAGATAACGAGGAGATAACGAGGAGATATTGAGGTGATAACGAGGAGATAACGAGGAGATAACGAGGAGATATTGAGGTGATAACGAGGGACGATGATCGGACGTTGGACAGGAAACAGGTCTTTGGAGGACGCAAAAGAACGGAAACGTTTTGGTAACAATCCTGAAAGAAGCTTCACTGTAAACCCTCACGTTAGAGAAACTGAGGCGACGTATCGAAGGCGTTGTGGGGGAAATAAATAAGATGTGGAGTCGCGAGGTGGAGGAACATTCTGAGGAGAAATGAGGAAAATCAGACATTAAAGTGGAGATTTTAGGAGAAACATTTGTGAGTTTTCTGAGATTTAAATTGCTGAATTTACAAGATTATTATTATTATTATTATTATAATTTGACGCAAACAAGATGACATTTTGTAAAATGAAATGTACGATTTAAGAAGAAAATGTATTTGATTTACCAGAATTTTTGGGCGAAATTGTCATGAAATTTAATTTAGTAAAAATAAATATTAATTTCAGAAAGAAATCTGATTTATTGGAAGAAAACTTGAATATTCTTCAAAAATAATTATTTAATTAGTAAAATATTTTTAAGAATTAAGTGTTGAATTAACGAGGAAAAAATGAAATTTTCTTTAGATATCTTGAATTTTTTTCCCCACAAATAAATCCTTTAAATCTCAGAAAAAAATCCACATATTTTCTCCTAGATTTCCCGACTTTAATCCTGAAGCTTTTCCAGTTCTTTCCAGAACATTATTCGCCTCTTTGGCTCCATATTTAAATATTTAACCTCCGATGGCACTCATTTGCCTCCATAGTGTTTATCTGTGTGTTACATATTTAATTAAATCCTGAAACACCTGAAGCTTCTCTCCTTCTCGTTAGAAATGTAAACACAGGTGTCGCTGCTGAACGGACAGAATATAAAGGGCTGAATTATTTTATTTTTATGGCATCCATTTTGTTTTTTATGCGTCGAGGAATGGATTTTTTTTAAGGTTTGAAGTGAAAACGCTCGCTCTGCATCGTCTCAATTTTTAATAAAAACACCCTGAATTTCAAAGCCGATAAACCACTCGTTCCTGACGTAGAGACCCTCGTTACAGACGTAGAGACCCTCGTCACAGACGAACACAATGTAAATAAGAGAATAAGATGATTAAAACAAATGTAAATAAATAGTTTTTCTTTTTCTTTTAACCTTCAATTTCACCTGGAAACGAAGTATGGAAGCTCATTCGTGCCAAGAAAATAAAAAAAGATAAATGTTTAAATTATATTTTTTGGCTTTTTCTCATAATTGTGATTATTATTAATTAATAACGACTGAAAAGCTCCTTATAATAAATATTTTTATTTATTATGATTTTTAATAACAATCTTTTTCACTTTAATAATCTTATCATTTTTATTAAAAAAGGCACATTTGTGACTCTATCTCATTATTTGGATTCAAAGTGAAAGTTAAACTCACTTAAATAACATTAAAAAATATAATTTTAAATAATAAAACTCACAATTCTGACTTAAAAATGTCAAAAAATTGATTTTTTAATTATTTTTTAAATGTTATCCTTTGTTTTATTGACACTAAAGAGCTTCCATAGGGTCCCATGAACTGTACAGAAGAAGAAGCTCCAATTAGTTTTATACTTAATTATGCAAACGCTTCAATTCAAACTGTGAAGATCTGGAGAGAAAAAACAATCAAAAACTGAAGGAGACATGTTGAATTTTCTGCTTTAAAATTTGGGATTTTGCGACGCCGTGCTTTGATGTTTCTTTGATTGATTCCTGTTTTTAGTTTTAACTTTAAAAATGATTATTTTCCCATAAAAGTGAAGCACGAAAACTCCCGGAGAAAGTGCCTAAAAATTGACCAAAATTAGAAAGTCGTGCATTTAATTAGAGCTAGTTTTTATTTATTTTTGTCAACAAATCCAACAAATTAGAATTTCAAAAAAATCCCAAAACAGGAGAAAAACCCTCAAAAATTAACGAGAACAAAAAATGTTGATTTAAATGTTAGATTTGATAGAAAAATTTTATAAAATCCAAGTTTTTTAAATTATAATTTAGCGAGACGTTCTGCATTTTGTTGTGAAAATATTTTTTGACTTTTCTTGAGATTTGTTGACAAGAAGAAAGTAGATTATTAAATGCCTTCAAATAATTCTAAATAAAACAACAATTCAGTCAAAATGCAAAAAAGATCTGAATAAAATACTGAACAATTTACCACATGGACATCACTACTACACTCGCGCTCCTATTGGCTATCGCTCCAACACATTGCACGTGATAGGTTAAGGGGCGGGACATCTATAAGCGGTTGACCAATCACACTACTTTGAGAAATACTCATTTATCAAGTTGTTTGACAAAAGGTGAATTTTAGGAGTAAAAACTCGGAAAGGGATTTTTTTTTATTACAAAACTCTTGTTTTATTTTAGCTTTTTCTGTCAATTGTTACAAAGTTATAGAATAATAAACTACAGATCTTTGAGGGGGATAAAAGTACCAGGTGTTCACAGGTAAACCATGTGTTCACAGGTAAACCAGGTGTTCACAGGTAAACCAGGTGTTCACAGGTAAACCAGGTGTTCACAGGTAAACCAGGTGTTCACAGGTAAACCAGGTGTTCACAGGTAAACCAGGTGTTCACAGGTAAACCAGGTGTTCACAGGTAAACCAGGTGTTCACAGGTAAACCAGGTGTTCACAGGTAAACCAGGTGTTCACAGGTAAACCATGTGTTCACAGGTAAACCAGGTGTTCACAGGTAAACCATGTGTTCACAGGTAAACCAGGTGTTCACAGGTAACCAGGTGTTCACAGGTAAACCATGTGTTCACAGGTAAACCATGTGTTCACAGGTAAACCAGGTGTTCACAGGTAAACCAGGTGTTCACAGGTAAACCAGGTGTTCACAGGTAAACCAGGTGTTCACAGGTAAACCAGGTGTTCACAGGTAAACCAGGTGTTCACAGGTAAACCATGTGTTCACAGGTAAACCAGGTGTTCACAGGTAAACCAGGTGTTCACAGGTAAACCAGGTGTTCACAGGTAAACCAGGTGTTCACAGGTAAACCAGGTGTTCACAGGTAAACCAGGTGTTCACAGGTAAACCAGGTGTTCACAGGTAAACCAGGTGTTCACAGGTAAACCATGTGTTCACAGGTAACCAGGTGTTCACAGGTAAACCAGGTGTTCACAGGTAAACCAGGTGTTCACAGGTAAACCAGGTGTTCACAGGTAAACCATGTGTTCACAGGTAAACCATGTGTTCACAGGTAAACCATGTGTTCACAGGTAAACCAGGTGTTCACAGGTAAACTGAGTGTTCACAGGTAAACCAGGTGTCCGAGTGTTCACAGGTAAACCAGGTGTTCACAGGTAAACCAGGTGTTCACAGGTAAACCAGGTGCTCACAGGTAAACTGAGTGTTCACAGGTAAACCAAGTGTTCACAGGTAAACCAGGTGTTCACAGGTAAACCAGGTGTTCACAGGTAAACCAGGTGTTCACAGGTAAACCAGGTGTTCACAGCGTTGTTTATTAGGAGCGGTTGAATCTGTTCGATGATGAAATGTGTTTTTGTTTTGATATGAAGAGAAAAGAGAGATTCTGTTCGAACCAATAAAGTGTTCCTCAAATAATCCTCTCATTTATTCATGTTTCAGACGTTTAATATGTTTCGGCTCGGGCCTCATCACTCCACAGATATACAAAGCACGATGAGTGATGATTAAATAACTACCCCCCCGAGCCTACAGGTGGTGGGGGGGCAGCGAGCAGCGACGTAGAGTAGCAGCAGCAAGCAATGCATAGAGAGAGATCTGGCAGGTTCAATAGAGCGGCACATTAAGGACACTCTGGTTGGCTGTAGAGTGGCACGGGGCGTTATGTGTGAATGCAGCATGAGTGCTCGAGCCTGAACTAGCTCGCAGGCTTCGCCCCATAAACGGCAAGGCACCCCCACCACCACTCTGCACTTTGATACAGCAGAACCACAAGGTCTGCCCTAAGAGGGGCTGTGCAGACCCTCTTAGGTCCAGTTCCTTTGGTAAACGGTTTCTCTGTGAGGACACCAACACTCTGGAACACAATACCAATACAGATAAGGAATAACACCTCCTATCATACATTTAACCACTATCTTAAGAACTGGCTTTTAAGCAATCAAACATGTGAACACTTTTCACTGTATCATAGTATGATAGTGTTTCATCTGTTTGCATGTTTGTCTGGTCCTATGTGTTGTCTGTTTGTCTGGTCCTATGTGTTGTCTGGTCCTATGTGTTGTTGTCTGTTGTTGTCTGGTCCTATGTGTTGTTGTCTGTTGTCTGGTCCTATGTGTTGTTGTCTGTTTGTCTGGTCCTATGTGTTGTTGTCTGTTGTCTGGTCCTATGTGTTGTCTGTTTGTCTGGTCCTATGTGTTGTTGTCTGTTGTTGTCTGGTCCTATGTGTTGTTGTCTGTTGTCTGGTCCTATGTGTTGTTGTCTGTTGTTGTCTGGTCCTATGTGTTGTTGTCTGTTTGTCTGGTCCTATGTGTTGTTGTCTGTTTGTCTGGTCCTATGTGTTGTTGTCTGTTGTTGTCTGGTCCTATGTGTTGTTGTCTGTTTGTCTGGTCCTATGTGTTGTTGTCTGGTCCTATGTGTTGTTGTCTGTTTGTCTGGTCCTATGTGTTGTTGTCTGGTCCTATGTGTTGTTGTCTGTTGTTGTCTGGTCCTATGTGTTGTTGTCTGTTGCTGAGTGTATTCTTTTTAATTATGTTTTTATTTCTCTAGTCTTGTTGTGGTTATTTTAACATCTTGCCAAAAGGACAACAGTTGAAAATTAGCCTGCTGGCTAACACTGGCACGTTTACAGCAATGTTGATCTATGTGCACTGGCCTTTAAATAAATAAACAAACAAACAAAAAACCAATTTGATATGTTATGAAGAACATTAGTTTTCCAAAGTGACAGCTACAGCACGAATGCATTTCTTTGCAGGCTCCTAATCTGATCACAGCGAACACACTTCATGGGTACAGGCTGTCGAGACAAAGATTGGGTTGAAAATATATGATAATAAAAAGAATGACTATCAGAGCCGCCTTGATGAGCATACGCTACGCATCTAACACTGAGTGGCTGAACCTAATTATTCCATTGCAACTAAAAAAAACAATTTAAACTTACAAGCAGTTTATTAAAATGTCACACTGCTGGTTAAAAACAGTCAAAAATGTAAATTTGAAACACATGTTGACTCTTCATGGTCCATGAAATCATAACATAATCTGCCCTACACCTTTTACATGATGGAGGTGACTTCAGAGGACCGAGACACTGAGAAAAAAGATGACCTCAGTTTTGCTCTCGTTGAGGTTGAGAAAGTTTTTGCTCAGCCAGGATTTTATCTCTGCTAAGCAGTCCATCAACTGCTGTAGTGAGTGTTTGACATTTGCTTTGAGAGGCAGATAGATCTGTACATCGTCGGCGTAGCAGTGGAAGGGAATATTATGTTTTGTGAGAATTGAACCTAGGGGCAGTATGTACAGTAGAAAAAGGATGGGGCCCAGAATCAAGCCTTGGGGAACCCCACAGGTAAGAGGGGCTTTGGCAGAGGAGAAGGCACCTAGCTGTACCGAGAAGCTACGGTCTGTCAGGTAGGACCTGAACCATGATAAGTCACATGTTTCCTGCCTGGCCTTGCCCGTGTATCATGACCTTCTCTCGTCTGGGCGCTAAGAGAGGAGCCCTCAACCAGTGCAGCAGCAGCCACTAGCAGCTGACTGTTGCTATCTGTAAACTATGCCGCCGAAACATAATTTCAGCCAATCAGCGTCGTCAAATCTGATGGTCACCGGGCGCCAATGTCAGCGCCCGGTGCAGTCTGTGAGTAGTTTGGACAGTGACTCGTATCCGGGTGACGCAGTAGTTGATGAGGATGGCTT